CCCGCGTCCCCTGCATTGGCAGGCGGACTCTCAACCACTGCGCCACCAGGGAAGGGAAGCCCGGTGGGTATTCTTTATTCCTTTCTTTTAATGAGATATAATTCTTATAAAATTCTCTTTTAAAGTGTACAAGTCAGTGGTTTTTAGTATATTCATAAAGTTATGTAATTATCACCATTATCTAAGTCTGGAACATTTTCAGCACAATGGATATAGTCTTCAAATTTCTCTATGGCCTTGGTAAATGATTCCTGCTTAGGGAATTTTCCAGGCCAAAACCATGCTCTATAAGAACTTTGGGGACCTGAGCATTGTCTGTTCAGGTGGTAAACGCTTAAATTAAGGAAAGTCTCAGCTTTGGGCCGACAAGTGCTCCTATTAGTACTCTGCCTACAGCACTACCAGTTTGGGATACCTGGAGTCATGATTGGTTTGACCACCTATCTAGGTACCCTTTAAAATTCATTCATCAGCCATTAATCAGTCACATAAATACCTGCGCTTCAGGAAAATATAACCTCAAACTCTTTCTTCAAAAACCTGGCTTAAAACTATTGAATTAAGCAACTAAAAACCAAACACCCCAATTTAAAAATGGACAAAGGACATGAACAGGCATTTCTCCAAAGATATGTAAATGACCAATAAGCACATAAAAAGATCTTAACATCACTAATCATTAAGTAAATGCAAATCGAAACAATGAGATACCATTTCACACTCATTACGATGACTATTAACAGTCTGGCAGTTCCTCAAAAAATTAAACAAAGAATTACTGTATGATCCAGCAATTCAACTTCTGGATACAGACTCAAAAGAACTGAAAGTAGAGACTCTAACTGATATCTGTACACCTATGTTCACTGCACTATTCACAACAGTCGAAAGGTGGAAACAATTCAAATATTCACCAACAGAAGAACGATTAAAATGAGGTAGAGTTGACCCTTGAACAACACAGGTTTGAGACCGCATGAACGAGCTGATGCAGAACCACGGATACAGAGGGCCAACTATGGACTGAAGCATCTGTGGATTTCAGTATACCAGGCAGGTCCTGGAACCAATCCCCCAAGGATACTGAGGGACCGCTACACACAACGGAATACTTCAACCATAAAAAGGAATGAAATTCTGATACATGCTACAACATGGATGAACCCTGAAAACACCATGCTGAATGAAATAAGCCAGACACACAAGGACAAATATTGTAGGATTCCACTTATATGAGGTTCCTAGAATAAAGACAAAAAGAACAGTGTTTACCAGGAGGCAAAGGGAATGGGGAGTCATTGTTTAATGGGTACAGAGTTTCCGTTTGGGATGAAGAAAAAGTTCTTGAAACGGATAATGGTGATGGATGCACAACCATGTGAATGCAGTTAATGCCACTGAGTTGCACACCTGAAAATGGTTAAAGTGGTAAATTTTGTGCTATATATATTTTACCTCAATTAAAAACAAAAAACAAAACCTGGCTGAAACATTTACAGAAGCTAGTTTAACAGACAAGTAGCCAGTTCATCAATTCTTTTAGTCGGTCTGTCTTCTCCCTCAAGAATTGCTTTTATCTGGGCTTCCCTGGTGGCGCAGTGGTTGAGAGTCCACCTGCCGATGCAGGGGACATGGGCTTGTGCCCCGGTCCAGGAAGATCCCACATGCCGCAGAGCGGCTAGGCCCGTGAGCCATGGCCGCTGAGCACGTCCGGAGCCTGTGCTCCGCAACGGGAGAGGCCACAACAGTGAGAGGCCAGCG